ATGTGCGAGTGGCGGGAGTCTGATTGCCTCCCCCGGCCTAAGAAGTAGTTGCGGTTGTAGTGGCTGAAATCGCTTGAGCTAAGCTAGTGCAAACTGATACGATATGATCCAAGGCCTCCTATAGACCCGGAATCACAATGGGCACAACTGGTGTCTGAGCTGGTGCTGCTGGGGCGGCCATAACTGGGACCTAATCCTGAACTGGGGCAGCTGGTGGATCTGCAGGTGCTGCCCTAGCTGCTCTTCCTCTACCACAACCATGGTTGTGTCCTCGGCCTTTGGTGGCCACAGCCGGTGGTACTGGTGGTCGTCTATCCTGACCAGTAGCGCGTGTCCTCACCATCTGGGAGAGAATAGAACAACAGAAGTTTAGTACTCGGATCAACAAATTCGCACGATAAGAATTTCAAGAATATGAAGTTTTTCCTAAAGGTTCTGCAGCCTCTCAAGGATAAATATAGACGTCTCTGTACCGATCCGCGAGGCTCTACTAAACCTGCTCATGACTCGTGAGACCTATGTAACCTAGGCTCTGATACCAACTTGTCACGACCCAAACCCGGACCCGGTCGTGATGGCGCCTCTCGTGAAGACAAGGCCAGCCGACACTTCTTTTTTTCCAATTATTAACAGTTAAGCATTAAGAAACAATCGAAATAGGATAAAATAATCTAAAGTAGCAGATAATGTCATAAATACACAGAAGAACAACCCAACACAGCCCGATACCGGGGTGTCACTAGTCATGAGCATCTATAAATCCTACTACAATCCGATAAGTCTATAAACAATTACAATTGTCTCATCAAAAATAGAAATGATAAAGAGGGAGAAACACGGGTTTGCGGACGTCAAACAGCTACCTCGTGAACTCCGAATGTCCATCGGGAGCTCTCAACTTGCAATGGCAAGATCAACAACGCCTAAATCCGCACACAAGGGTGGAGGGAGTAAAGTGAGTACTCCAACTCAGTGAGTAACAAATGTAAATAAAGACTGAAAGTAAGAAATCACGTAAGGCACAAAACATTCTATAATGAAGCAGTAAAACCATTTAAAATCAGTATATCAGTGAAAGATAGGTAAAATTCTATAAGTCAAATGTAGTTTCATGAAAAGCCTTTTTCAATGATTAAGCAGGTAATTGATAGTCAATTATGAAAAGTAAACACATAAAGGCTCACCCCTCGGGACAATATCAACAAATCTGCCCCTCAAGCAATATCTCAGAACAGTACCAGCCCCTCGGGCAGTCACATAGAACAATACCAGCCCCTCGGGCTTAATCTCACATCACAATGGGTACCCGCTCACTGGGGTGTACAGACTCCTAGAGGGGGCCCTTATAGCCCAAGCGCAATATTAAGCCACCTCGTGGCATCATCACTAGGCCCTCAGCCTCATATCAATCAAGCCACCTCGTGGCGTACATATCTCAAGCCCTCCACCTCATAATCAGTATCAAATGTTTGCTCACAACATAGGCCCTCGGCCTTACTTAGTCAAAATCCTCATAAGGCACTCGGTAATAGTAAAACATGATTCTCAGCCCAAAAATATCATTTAAAAAATCATGTAAGTGTTAAAATAGAGTAAACATGACTGAGTACGAAAACAGTGAAATATAACATGACTAAGTTCAAGTATAAAGTCAAAACAGTGAGGAAATACCAGTAACAATCCCCGAAGGGTTCAAATAGTTGGCACAAAGCCCAAATATGGCATTCAGTCCAAATAATAATAATAACAAATAAATTTCAGTCAAATACGCGGTAAAATCATCAATTGGGACGGACCAAGTCATAATACCCAATAGTGCACGACCCCATGCTCGTCATCAAGCGTGTGCCTCACCTCAATATAGCAATACGATGTGGAATCCGGGGTTTTAAACCCTCAGAACATCATTTACGATCATTACTCACCTCGAACCAGTCAAATTTCTAACTCGCGACGCCTTTGCCCCTCGAATCGACCTCCACTCGCGTCGAATCTATCCAAAATCAAAACAAGGACATCAAAATATGCTAAGGAAACGAAGCCCAAGCAAAAATAATTAAAATACGACACAAAACCCGACCCCCCGAGACCACATCTCGAAATTCAATAATTTTTACATCATAGATTTCTTATCTCTCCACGAGTTCATACATATCAAAAGTTCAGAAATCGGACCCTAAATGGTCCTTCAAATCTTCAATTAAAGACCTAAGTTCCCAAGCCCTAGTTTCCCCAATTTTCACCCTTAATTTCCATGATTTCTAGCTCTAGTCCGAGAAATTATAGCATAGGAACGAGTTTTAGGTCCAAATTCCTTACCTCAATGAAGTTCCCTTGAAATCCCTCTTTCAATTCGTCCAAAAGCTCTAAAGTCGAGATAAAAATGGTTAAATAGCTCAAAATTCGCAAAGGCCACAATTTATACTTTCTGCCAAGAACTTTTCGCATCTACGGCTATATTTCTGCTTCTGTGGTACCGCATATGCGGTTCTTCTTCCGCTTCTGCGGAAATCACTTAATGAACCAAACCCGCTTTTGCGATCAATCTTCCGCACCTGCGCCTCCGTAGGTGTGGTCCATCAACCGCATCTGCGGTCACTGCCTTTCCAGGCATTTCCGCTTCTGCGATCCTTTGTCCGCTTCTGCGCCGCCGCACCTGCGGTCCCCAATCCACAGGTGCGGAAATACCAGAAGCAACAACTTCAGCAGTTGCAATAAGGTCCAAACTTCTCCGTTAACCATCCAAAATCACCCTGAGGCCCACGTGACCTCAACCAAAAGCACAAACATATCCTAATACCTTATTCGAACTTGTACCAATCTTCAAAACACCTCAAACAATATCAAATCACCCAAAACACATCAGATTCAAGCCAAATTTTCTAAAATCTTCTGAATTCCGCTTTTGATAAAAAACCCAACCAAACCATGTCCGAGTGACCTGAAATTTTGCACACACATCCCAAATGACACAACGAAACTATTGCAACTCTCAGAATTCCATTCCGACCCCTATATCAAAATCTCGCCTACCAACCGGAAATCGCCAAAATATCAACTTCGCCAATTCAAGCCTAAATCTACTACGAACCTCCAAAATTTATTCTGATATCCCGAAGCTAACCAAACCATTGGAACTCACATCCATGCCCTCTAACACCTAAGTCAATATCCGGTTGACTTTTCCAACTTAAACTCACTCTAAAAAGACTAAGTGTCTCAAACCTTACCAAATCCTTTCCGAACTCGATCCGACCAATCTGATACCACATAACATAGATAAACAAAGCATAACAAAGCAGAAATAGGGAAAATGGAGCGGTAACTCAGGAGACGACTGGCCGTGTCGTCACAAAAAGTGACCAACCTTAGGAATTTTTCTTATTAATAATGCAGACTACACAATCAAAGCTTTTTACGATTCGATTGGGCAGCTTGTCCCCAATTGAGAAAACCGTTAGTGGATATATTGTACTACTTGGGGATAACCCAGGAAATCAAAGAAGTAGTCCACTATCTCTTTATCTTCTACAGAAGCTGAGTAGAGGTCAGCTAGGATGGTTGTTAGAGAGCTTGTTTGGCTTGCCAGGCTTCTCAATAAACTAATTGTTCCTCTATCCTTGCCTATTCCTATATTTTGTGACAGCCAAACTACCCTACACATAGCAAGGAATTCTATTTTTCACGAGCGTATGAAATGTGTTGAAGTGGACGACCACCTTTTACAAGACCAGTTGCAGAAAGGATTGATTTCTCTACACANTTTATTCTTCCATTCATTCCTTGTAAAATAGTTAGTGAATGTAGTTAGTGGAATAGTTAGTGAGTTGTCATTAGTTAGTTGGTTAGTCTAGTTATTAGTACATGTTGTATAAGTAGGAACACTTGTTACATTTTTCGTTTTTTGAGTTGATTAAATGAAGAGTTCAGCTTCTTTCTAGAAACTTCAGATCTGCTATTTTCCCTTTTTGTACATTCTCCGATTCCTTCACTGGAGCTCCTATTGAGCTCGTGTTTCTTTCATTGTTTCTACAATTTCACATTGTACTGTAACTCATGTATATTTTTAGTGAAATTGCAATTACAAGATTTGATTCTCCACTAATTCAATGACCCAAACCTTTGAGAAGTATTTATCTATGATAATATGAGTACACAATACCCTCCCCCCACCACCACCACCACCAAAAGAAAAAAGGAAAAAAAGAAGTTCCATTACCACTTAGAGCCCGTTTGGACATACAAAATTTTTCCTTTTTTTTCATTTTTTTTTTGAAAATAATGTTTGGTTATCCTATTCTTACCAATTTTTCCCTTTTCACTTGAAAATCCTTTTTCAATTGAAAATGGGAATTTTCTAATTTTTAGTTTTACAAATTTATCCTATAGTTTTAAAAATTAGAAATGACCCATAAGTTTTTCATCTTTTTCAGATACATCTTTGGCGTCTGATGGTGGAACATCAGTCCTAGTTGATACTTGAACTCTGCCTACTGAAAGTTTGATTATATGGTAACGAGAAATATGTGGCTATGCCTGCTTTTGTACCTTCTCTGTGTGTTAGTAGAATTAGAAAATGTGATATTGATTTTGCATCTTCTGTGTATTGCATTAAAGCAGAATATGATAACAGTTAAAATAGCATTTTGATCGTTTATTTCAAGTAGGATAATCAAATTGGGGTGATTTTGATAATTTTTACAAGTTGTGAGGTATAAATCACGTTTCATGATTTTGAAAAAAAAAAGACATCCTACTTAATCTTCTGATTTTATAACCAAACACAACTTTATCTTCAATTCAAATTTTAGTAAAATTTCAAATTTGAAAAAAAAAAATTGGAATTCATGTTCAGACGCCTACTTAATCTTCTGATTTTGTTGTAATTCATATTTTAAAATATACTAGTATACAGTGTTATTTTATTTATCATGAAGAATTTAAAAAGATATAGGGTGTCGCAACTTGAAATTGGATAGGCCGAACTGCAGACCACGTGCAGAGAGGGAGGGAAGGGCAGAGTGGCGTAAGCCAATCCAGAAAGCAAGAGATAACTTGCGAACTCCCCGATTCCTATTTCCCCTCTTCTTCTCTTTTCTTTATATAAATATATCATAATTATATTTTCTAGTAGTACGAGAAACTGAATACAAAAAATATAGAGCCACTCAACTCAATACAACAAGACTTACTCACTAGCTGTTTCAATCGGATTTGAATGGTGGGAAACTCAAGTCACTAATGGACTAATGGGTGCTCAGAAAAGCATTCATGCTGGCAAAGGTAGAGTTCTCTTCTCTCTCATTTCCCAAATAAGACTCAATATTTATTAGTGTCTCATAACTCTCTGAAATTTGTGTTTTCTGAAGCGTTTTTTTTTTTGTGGGAGGGGGGTACCTCTAGTTTTGGCTTGTGCTTTATGATTGCAAAGGTTGAAATTTTCTTTTTAACTTACATTTCTCTCACAAAAGATTGAATTATTTTGAATTGTGCTATACTGTGTTTTTGGTTGTCCATATTGGGTGCTGATAGTTCTTTTTTGTGCTTTATATTATAAAGATTTGATTTTTGTATATCTTTCTTGAATTCGAGTTGGTCTTTTCTTGCAGCTAAAATAGATGTCAATGTAGATTTTACCCATAAATTATGTGCTGCTTTGATGCTCCAACCTTTCAGGTTATTACATATTAAACAGTTCTTCGCAATTGGTTTTGCTTTCATCAGTTCTTCACTCTTTGTTTCTTTCTAATATTGCTGTTCTATCTCTGTCAAACAGGAATTCCGGCAGCCCCCTTGAATTAGTAATTGGCAGGTAATATTGTTCTGAAACATTAAGCTTCTTTTTATTTTGGTTATAAATTTTTGGTGGGGTTTTTAAGGATGGAGGGTTTATGTTTAAGCAGTGTTTTATTTCTGGTCATGCTTTGATTGACAATCCTTTTCTTTTTATTCTGCCAGTCTTTGCATAAAACACCCAAATTTATTTGGCAAGAGCGAGAAGCTAGATGTTTTGTGGGATAAAGGACTCTATGATTCCAATATCTTAATAACATATCGGAAGCCAAGACCAGAATGGCTTCCTCAACAGTCTTTCATCATTCAGGTTTGCTATACTCTTTTGTCCAGGCTAGTTATTATCATTTTGCAAATAAATAATTTCTCTTGTTTCATTTGTTTATTACTACATATTATTTGTCGTTTGGAACGGAGGTGCAATTGTAGTAGTTGTTGTTGTATTATGTATTATTTTTTTAATCAAAGAAGAATAGACTGAATTTTTGAATTCTGAAATAATCTGGTCCTTGAAGGGGCTGCGAAATTCAGTTGCTTGGAATTCAAATTAAATACGTGGGTGTAAGTATGTTAAAATGAGCTATTATCCCACCCAATGTTCTTAGAATATAATTACCAATGTTGAATCAGTTATAAAAGAGCACAGTATTGACGTGAAAATAATAACTCTTCTGTGTAACTGATCTGCCTCGGAGGCACGTTTGTTTGAAATTAGAACCAGTTTAACCGATTTTTAGTATCAGCTCGAGAGCAGGCTTTAAAACAACTTGTTTGTTTTGTATGGAGAATCTGACGCATTATGGACTTTAATCCGAACTACACTTGTTGTCCAGCATTCCATTTCTCCCGAGATTGGGGTCCATGGCTTACCAGTTGACAACTTCTCTCGCTCTGGAAGTGGTGGAGTTAACTTATGTCGCTTCTCTGCTGGCTTAGATTTGAGCGAGCCTGCAAGTTCCAACTGGAGCAGCAAGACAAGTGTAAAATTTGAGGTAATTGCGACTCTTAGCACTTAATGGAGCTCTATAGACACGTTATTTTAATTACAAGTTTAATGCACTAATCTTTGTGTTGTTTGATGAAAACATAAATGTTATTTGTCATGCAGCATATTAGTCCTGTAAGCGATGAGGGTCGCTCAATAAACAGAGATCTTCATGGGTTTCCAGTGACTTGCAGGTATCTTAAGCTATTACTGATTCTTAACTTCATTTAATTCAGTTCTGACTCAGCGTATATTGTATAAATGCATGTTTTCCAGTGGTGGCTATCATGATAGTATGGTAGTAGTTAAACAAGAGTCTCGATATGCAAAAGCAAATGATCGTAGTTTTACTCAAGTAAGTCACTTTCTATACACAATGGTGCAAATATTCTCAATTTATATTCGATTTTGATATTACAGTGCATGCAATGTTCTATATGCTTTCTAAAACATGTGCCCGCTTGTCCAGTTTAGCCTACAAATAGAACAAGGGATTCCTATTCTTTCCAAGTGGCTGATCTTCAACCGATTCAAGTTTGCTGCATCAAGGGGACTAAAGCTTGGGCCAGCTTTTCTCTTGACAAGGTGAGCAACATTTTTATCTAGGACAATTGAAGATTATCAATTTTGCACCAGTTGGTTTCAAAACCAAGGTTAACCAGTACGATTTATACTAGTCGAACAAAGGTATAATAATGAAGTTCCTGATAAAGGATATACAAATGAAGTAAAGATAAATAAGCATCCAACTGCCACGAGAACGACATATATAAGATAGGGAAAGTTAGCATTCAGTGTTTTCAAGTGTCTGATGATTTATTGGTAAGTTACTTAGGAATGGACAAATATTAACGTGAGAAGCTCAAGAGGAAACATGTAGGAAGGAATGAACTAATGATCAACGCATCAGGAAAACATGGTAAGGAAGTCAAAGGCAAAAGATGTTTGAAATACGACTTGAGCGTTGGAGAAATCAAGATCTATGTGTATTATAGAAACACATAAACACATGCGAACTGGAGTTGGAACTAATAGAAAATATTGAGCTTTTAACTCTACTTTCCTTTTCGAACTAATAAAATATTGAGTTTTAAACTCGACTTTGCCTCTTCAAATTCAATGTAAAGCAGTACTTTAAGAACTGGGATTTCTGCTTTTATTTATTTGTTTGTTCTTGATAAATATATCTTCATTAGTCAGATTTACGAAATATCTTTAATTGTTTATGTAGATTTATTACTAGTCTTTTTTCTTCCGCTTGGTGATATTACAAGTATTTAATTCTCAGAGAGAAAAGCTCTCTCTTCTTCCTAGAATTATGGAACTACAGAAACTAAGGAAGACATTGATCCTCCTGTGAACAGCCATCTCCGACTAGTTTGCGTTTCGATGAAGCTGCAGAAATCTATTAACCCAGTAATGGTCTATGCCAAAGTAAAAAGTAGAGCAGAATAAACTTTGTTGTCAAATGACTCCAGCCTGATCCTATAGAGAAGGAGCGGCTGGCCAGTGCTGTCTTTAGACAGCATATGTCACCACAAGCAAGTGGTAATGAAGCCATTTTTTCAGTATCAGGAGTAGAAATTGATTTTATTGAATACATGCTTTATTGGGCATATGTGCCAGTGAAGTGCAATTGAAACAATTGGGCAATTGGGTTCACGTGACTGAAAAGGAACCAAGGTATATAAGTTACGATTGTAGTCCGATTGCCCACACACTTATGGCCATATAGTGTATGGGTCTTTTCAACAAGTTGGGAGATTTTCCGGAGTATTCATTCATGTTGATATTAGTCTTGCAGAATGTATCTCTAAAAAGTTTTAAGCCTTGCTGTTAAACAATGTTTGTATCCTATATAGTTTTCCTTTTAGAATGCATCTTTCCATATCCCAAAGTCATACCTTTTTCTCTTGACAGCCTCACAGGTGGTTCTATCGTGGGGGATATAGCTCCTTATCAAGCTTTTGCAATTGGTGGGCTTGGCAGTGTCCGAGGGTATGGTGAAGGAGCTGTTGGTTGTGCTAGATCTTGTCTGGTTGCTAACAATGAACTGACGTTTCCTTTGGTATGTTTTTATTTGTAAATTACTGAATCTTTGCTCGTAAGGGACAGTCATTTGGCTGCACATTTTGCAAAAAATATGTTCTATTATCATTCTAGTCTTCTAACTTCCTTAATGATGCAAAAAGATGGAGGAAATCTTGCTAATTGCAAATGACATTCAGGAAAAAAAGAGAGGAGTAACTGTGCCGTACAGACTTCACAAATGGATTTGCTTATTTTGGTTGTGTTAAAAATCTATTGCACTTAGTATGAAACAGGTGTTAAGGGGAACAGATGTCTTTTTATTGGCAATGATGTCTTCTCTTAATTGAAGAATTTGATATTGAAGGAATGTCCTGTCATTAAGTAAGAAAATTCTATTGTAAGATAAATCATCAAATGACAGCGCTTTAGAGTCAAAAGAACCTTTTTCTCTAATTTGAAGAAAATAATTTTATTGACAAGATTAGTTGTAAGAATTGGCTGTTCAAGATTAGTTGCAAGAAATGATAGTTTTTGTAACAGTTAAAAGGTTAGCCTTGTCCCACTAAATGAAATTTCCTAGCTTAAAGTTCCAGTATCAAACTCTTCTACTAAGACCGAGAAATTTATTTTCCTTTTTTGAGAATGATAATAAACATAAGTTAAACTAAGACTGAGAAAGGATTGTTACTAAGCTATTAAGAAATCTGCTCTTTTAACCGTTTCTTGCTATTGTCTCCTCTTATCTGCACTTGCATTGCCTATGAAATTAGTCTGCACTAGTCTCGTATACTGCCCTCATTAAATCCTCTCTGCATCCATTTGGACCTATTAAATTTTATATTGTGTGGAGTCTCATACACAGTGCTTTGTATCCAGAACCCGATGCTTGATGGTGCAGTCTTCTTGGATTGTGGATCTGATTTGGGCTCAGGTCGTCATGTGCCTGGTTAGTGACTTAGTAATTCTTACATTATGCAGAAGGTTTGCTTTATGTTACCGACTACTGTTGAAATTTAGAAACATGTGTGAGAATTTTAGAAAAATCTTCCCGTCGATTACTCCTTTTGGAAATGTTTGAGAATGTCTGTTTGCTTAGTNCTTTTCAATCTTAGTAGAAGTTTTAGCCGATGGGCTGCCAATAAATATGAAAACTCCAAATAATTGGTATGGGAAATTATTTTTTCTATTATTTTTCTGTGAAGGGGAGCCGTGGAGCAACATATAAGTTGTCTCTGTGTAACCTATATGTCAGTGGTTTGAGCCATGGAATCAACCACTAATGTTTGCATCAGAATAGGCTGCCTACTCACACCCTCTTGGGGTGAGACCCTTCCTTGGACTCTGCGCAAATGCGGGATGCTTTTTGCTCCAGGCTCCCCCCCTCTTCATTATTTTAAATTATAATTTTCTGTGTCTTTTGCGTTGCTTCTTTTTAACTTCTTTGTCTCATGCTCTTCATCTGCCTTACTTCTATTGGGCCAGTATTGAGTATATTCCTTGTTGTAAATGTTTCAACCTTTTGTTTCCAATGAAGCTGTTAATGGTTTAGTTTATGACATAAGCAGTTTAAGCTTAATGATGTTCTGGTTATGCTTAACTACTGCTTTCGAGATCTAAGTCCACGCTTTAGGTTTCACTTTGAAAATGTAGATCCACATATACTCTCATAAGATATTTATCAGAAGTGCTTGAAGACAATCCTCATCAACAAGACGATGAGAATATCTGCTGAAAAATGTATTGGAGTAACACTAGTTTGTTTTGCCAAAATCATTTCTGAGGGATGTGGAGCTTGTTAATTCAGTTGATTTTAGCCATAAAAAAAGAGGTAAGAGTCCTTCAGTGTCTCCTAGCAAGATAGTAAAAGCAAATGCTTTCGAAAAGGAGAAGTTCAATAATATAGGATGTGTAATCTTAAATCCCTGCCTGCTCTAGCTAAGCTTTATAGGTTAACTAAAAACATGCATGTTCGGATCTCTCTTAAGTGCTGCAAGTCTACAACCTAGTTGTAACTACTTCCTTTACCTCATCAATGTGATGATGAGATTGCGTGGTTTGTTTATCATGTGCAAGAACCTCTCAGAAGTTACGCCAATAGATAAATGTAAACATAATGAACATGCTTTCGGCTCACTTTGTCATTCGTCTGTCTCAACATATTTTCTCTAACACTTGAGCATTTCAGGGAATCCCGCTCTTAGGCATGGCAAACCAGGAATTGGAGTTGGTCTTGGATATGGTCTTAGATTCAAGTCTCAGTTGGGACATTTCCAGGTGGACTATGCAGTCAATGCATTTCAACAACGGACTGTGTACTTTGGCTTCAGTAACCTCCCCTCTTGAGAGTTCACCACAGCACTTGCAAAAGTAGCAAAATTTATGATCAGTGTTTCATCTGTAGAGAAAATTTCTGAGGATACCTCTAAGGGATCGGATTTTGGGCTCTGAGTAGTAGCCTGTCCCTTATTAGAAACAAAGGCTGCTCTCTTGCAGAGACAACACTGAAGATTTTTCTCATTGAGCAAATTGGTGCAGAGAAGTGGTTCCATTTTCACCCTACCGCTTCAAAGATCAGATAGAAAATTGTAAATTCTTTACCGCGACCATCAGGAAGTGAGTCTTCATGTCAAAGTTAGTAATCTGCTATAAGACAATGTAGACGTTCAGTTTCCTTTTTTTCTTTTACAAATATAGAATTTGTTAGCTGATTTCATTCTTGAATTGGAATTACATATTATGTGAATGTGATTTACTGGTTTCGCACAGTGTTGAGTCTTTAGTCAAATCTGTCAACAGATAATATTCCTCGTTGATTGAAAAAAGAGCTAGTTCTCATACAAAGAAAATACAAGTTAATCCCTGTACATATAAAATAGACGTCCAGTAAGTGCATAGAAGAAGACTACCCGTAAGGTTGCACATGTGATCAATAATCCAAGCTTAAATACAGTAACAAATATTGTTGTAAGCAAATTTGAAGCTTCATTATTACATCAAATGAAGATAATCAAAATAAAGTACGCCACCTAACAAGAAATTGCCTCTGTCCGTGGTGCAACAAGCGATACCACTCGTTCAAATCTTGTAGTTTAACTCTACTAAAACACTAATCCCAATTTTTTTACATGTCACTGGAATCTTTAGGTTCAAAGTGGAATTTTTGGCAAGGATGAATACAAGAAATAGAAGGTAGTAGCATTCCAACTACAAACTATCACATGTTTAAATCAAGATAAGACATTGCTAAAGTAGGAGAATGTTAACTCCTACCATACATGACGTTGAACGTCTCAAGTAATTCATCCTCAAGTTAAAAAATGGTTAAGTCGAATCTAGGAAAGTAAAATGACGAACAATTTGAAACCAAGGAAGCATTCAGGTTGATCAGATGACAGTACTAGTACTTGCAGAAACGTCGATGGACCTATCATCCTCGTCTCGTATAGTACTAATCATCAGAGCAACTTGGTTTATACTAGGCCTAGCCTCAGGAGAATGGTTCACACATTTTACAGCAACTTGTAACAAATTAACCATCCTCTCTTCACTAGCACCTTCTTGTATCAATGTTCTATCAAACACTTCAACTGTCCATTCTTCTCTTAACACAGAAACAACCCAACTTGCAAGGTTTAGTCCATTGTTTTGCACTTTCCCTGTTAGCAACTCCAACATAATTACCCCAAATGCATAAATGTCTGCTTTAAACAATGCTTCTGCATTTTCGTCGGTTATAGGGAAGACATTGGAACTGCTGGGAAATTGAGCCTGGTTTTGTATGGTACTAATGCCAGCACTGCTCATTAGACCATATTCAGTAATGCATGGTTCCATGTTCTTGTTCAACAAAATGTTTGATGATTTTAAGTTTCCATGAGGAATTCTGTCATGTTGAAGCTCCTGATGCATGAAAGCTAAAGCATCGGCTACACCTGCAGCTATAGAAAGTCTGCTGCTCCAGTGAAATGTTTGGCCTGTCTGGAAACCTGATAAGCATATATACACAATGTTGAAGATATAATTAAGTAAATAAAAGTTTGTTTCTTCTAACAGCTTAAGTTATCAGATAATCACGTCACACAATTCAATATGATATTAGAGCATATCAGTCTCAATCGCCCACTATCAAAAGAATTTCCCGAATCAGGCCATCTTATAGTTTAACTGATAAGATGGTCCGCTCAATTCAATGGTTAATTCATGTCTGATCACTAAACTTTGTCCACTACAATAAAGTTATAAAACTAGTTTTTATTGCATTGAAGTAACATTATGCAAAATAACAGTAAAGCCGCCTAGTGGGTAGGTTTTGTCGTTATAGTGGTTTAAAGTTGACTGCTGTTGTAGTGGATAACGTTTTTAGTTACTTAATGAGACAAAAAATAGTTTTATGACATTGTAGTTATAATGGACAAGTTTAGTGGCTTTGTTGTTATAATGGGTAAGGTTCAATTGACGTGATAAACTAAAGCTTTGTGACTTTACTGTTATAATGGATAAAATTTCAGTGACTGTATGTGAAATTCTTACACAATTTCATGCACATAAGAACGGAGTGAATTGTATGTATTTACTTGTGAAAAGTAACTGAATGAAACTTACCGTGTAGATGTTGAAGAAGACTACCATTATTTTGGTACTCATAGACAAGAAGCTTCTCTTGTCTAGAAGAATAAAAGGCAACAGCAGGCAACACATTTGGATGCCTGATTTGGTCAAGTTTCTGCATTCTCTTCTTGAACTCACTACCAGATATTGACCAATCCTTTATCCTCTTCACAGCCAAAGTCATCTTAGGATTATCACACATCACTTTATACACACTACCATGTTTCCCTCTTCCAAGCAACTCAGCTGGAGCCTTCAGCAAATTCTCAAATTTTAATCCATTATTCATCTCTGGACTTGTAAGAACCACGAGTGACTGTGAAATCGCGGTGTTGCTTTCATCAGAAGAAACTGCAGCTGATGAGAAACCTGAATTGCTCGCGCCTTTCTTAGATTGATCCATTGATGTAATAGTAATCCTGTCACTACCATGATCAAATGCAGCCACCTTTTTCATCGTCTCGAGACTCAACTCCTTTTTCTTCTGCTTCTGTTTCCTTTTTCTGTAGATGCATAAAAGGATAACAACAACCAGAGCCAGGCCAATTAGAATATAACCTGAAAACATGAGAATTTCATCTCTTGTCAAGTTTCTCTTTGGCTTGTCATGATCATCTGAGTCTGCCTCTTCGGGCAACAATGAGCATGTTGTTGCCAACGGGGTGCCACACAACAGAGGATTGTCCATGTAGCTACTAACAGGGAAACGATCACCCTCAGGCGGGATAAATCCACTGAAATTGTTGAATGAGACATTAAATGCAACAAAATTGGAGAAATCAAATTCAGGTATCTCCCCTGATAGCTGGTTATTTTGAGCCTCGAGTTCCATCAAACCGGATATCCTGGATATATCAGGCAGAACACCTGATAATCCATTGTTGGATATATCGAGCTTTTTCAAGTTATTCAATCTTGAAAATGATTGTGAAAGGCTACCCGAGAACCGGTTTCCACCTAGGAAAAGGTGTGTTAGGTGTTTGCACTTGTCTATGCTATCCATGTTTTTTTCCTGAAGTAAGTCATTTTTTAGACTGAGGTAAAAAAGGGTGTCCGCAATTGACTCCACGTTACAAATTGTGTTGGCATCAAAAGTTCCATAGAAATTGTAATCATCAAGAATTATTCTCTCCACAGAAAGTGTCTTTGCATTACATGTAACACCAAGCCAATTGTCCTCACAAGGATCTGATGTTGAGTTCCAGCCTGAATTAGTTCCAAGAATTAATGTACTATTATTGTTAGAAACCTCTGCAATAAACTTGAGTAATGCATCTTTAGCCAATGTTTCATCTTCATCACATTTGGTTGTGTCAAGGATAAGAAAGAATGATATGAAGAGCAAAGCAAAAGTGAGGATTTGGTTCATTTTTGCATGATACTAGCAAAACGTGGGAAAATAGGAAGATATACTGCAGATTTCACAGTTGAGCAGTGAAAAACAAATTATGATGAGTTATGCAGATATAATTGTGGATATTCCCAATGTTTGAAGTAGTCATTAATCAACTAATAGTAGTGCCATTTGGCGGAAAACACAATGAAATTTGTATAAACATTGTGGACTGGGTTATACAAAGTCAAGTACAGTATCGGATTCTCACGTCTTATCCGAAGCCGGCCAGCAGCAAACTTACTCTGTAACTTTATCCTCTACTGTCTTTTTTCATTTCTGACAGTCGGATAGGTTGGCTTCTTTTATCATTTTCTTTTGCTTGAACCAAACATGCTCCGTACATGACCATCCCATCTACAAGTTTAAACGTTAGAAAAAATATATTTTATTTACTTGATTATATCTTCAAAAATGATGCTACGACTCGATGATTCATGAAAAAAATTCTCATGTAGATCAAAATTAGAATCGATTTAGAAATCTACATTTACGTACAACCTCTTGCATTTCTTCTTGCATTTATTAGTCCAGCCCACCGGGCTGCCCTTTTTAAATCTTTGAATCTGTCACGGCATTGTAAAAGTAATTAATTACGTCAATTTTGCTGGCTTTACTTGTAGAGGACTATCCAACAAGTTAATTAAGACAATAGAGCACCTTTTGTAGACACCCCTTTATAAGGAAGTTACAAAAAAGAACAAGTAAAACATGCTCTAATATATAGTACTATCTAATAGGACACAAAAGGATTGCCAAGATATAGTATGTATAGAATTTTTTCTCATGAAACTAGCATGGATTGTTTGAAAATTTACCAAGTTTTAAATAAGCTAAAGAAAAAGACAGTAGAGGGAGTAATGTTGCTGCCGGCTGGCTACAGATGGATTCAAAATTTACTCATCTGCTGCCATACTGCAGCAGGTCAAATCATCGCCAAGTATTAGTAGATTAAGACTACTTCAATATTGGTATTTCCACATCACAATTTGTTTTCTGGGAAATCTGCATTATATCATACTATACTATTTAGTATTTTCCCCACATTGCTAGTATCATGTAAAAATGAATCAACTTCTCACTTTTCCCTTCCCTTCTTTTCATTCTTGACACAACCAAGTGTTATGAAACAGTGGCTAGAGATGCTTTACTCAAGTTTATTGCAGAGCTTTCTAACAATAACTAGTGTACAATTCTTGGAACTGATTCAGGTTGGAACTCAACATCTGATCCTTGCAAGGACAGATGTCTCGTGTTATATGTGATGCACAAAGACTTTCTCTGGAGCTTTTGACACCAACGCAATCTGTAGTGGGGATTCAGTCGCGGCCACCCTTTTCGTCCTCAGTCTAAAAGATGACCTGCTTCAGGGTGAAAACTTGGACACTATAGACAACTGCAAGCATCTAACACACCTTTTTCTTGGTGGAAACCGGTTCTTGGGTAGCCTTCCAGAATCATTTTCAAGACTGAATAACTTGAAAAGGATTGATATATCCAACAATGAATTATCAGATGTTCTGCCTGATTTAACCGGGACGATTTCTGGTTTAATGGAATTCGAGACTCAAAACAATCAGCTATCAGGGGAGATACCTGAATTTGACCTCAAATTTTGTTAGTTCTAATGTTTCTTTCAACAATTTCAGTGGATTGATTCCACTCGGGGTTGATCAATTCCCTGTTAGTAACTACATGGACAATCCTCTGTTGTGTGGCGCCCCGTTGGCAAACACAACATTCCCATCCTTGCCCGAAGAGTCGGAAATTTCCAGTCAAGACTGAAAATTGTAGCATTAGACATGCTTTTGTCTGCACTGATTACACCACTTTCTGTAGTTGAACATCCAATTTTTCGTATTGGACGTCCACAAAGGCATTACGATGAAAATAGTAAATTAGCACACTCTAGGAAATTTCCAGAAAAACAGCGGAAACGAACATAGGGAAGAAGGATAACAAGGCTACTTTTTTTACTAATATATGCACATATATACCATGCGTCAATATGATATTGACTGAGACCAAAAATTGCAAGAAGCTTACATATTACTACTATCTACAAGAGTCCTAAGACTATAAACAACCCAAAAAACTTCTTGCAATTCAAAAACTTAGAAACTATAAGCTAGGCAAAACATTCATCATCAGTGTAACAAATACTGAGATCATCCAAACAGCTGAACTCACCTAAAAGAGATCCATAGTTATCAATGATTGGTAAGCCGAGTTTCACCGAAAATTTGACTTCACTACCACCTGGAACTTGTACCCATTGTCCCATCCACAAATCTTCATCAACTTGACCTTCTTGCTTCTTCTCCCCTCCACTAGAATCAGTTAGCACATTGCTTTGCAGCTCGGCCTTTGTTGAGCACTGAAAATCGAATTCCTTAAACTGATGATAAGCATGGAAAGCTTCTTCAGCTGTGCCAAGACTAGTCCCCAACAAATTTCTTGTCATACTTATGGAGTGGCTTTGCTCGCAAGAATCAATCCTTTGGCCACTTTGAAATGTTTCGCAATTTACATGGCTTTGCTTGCCATTGACTAATTTCTTTTTCCCATGTTGCTTCGAATGAGTTTGCTTATTAGTACTTTGCGGCTCCTTCGCGCTGACTAGTTTCTGAAACTCGAGTTTCTTAGATTGATAAGCCCGGGAAGCCTCTTCAGCAGTATGAAAAGTCCCCAACCAAATTTTTTTCTTAGTGATGGGGTTTGTAATCTCAGATGTATATTTCCCCCACTTGTTCTTGTGAACCCCAATGATATGTGTTGTTTTGTGTCTTTTTTTTCTACCTACACTAGCAGTATCTAAGGACGACGATGCGCCAACAGGCGATTCGTGCTGAATTTGACCACAATCCTTTGGTTTATTCTCCTTATTTCCCAGCTGGCATAATTTATCAAACTCAGACTTGTAGGAGAAATAAGCTTCTGAAGCCTCTTCAACAGTGTCAAAAGTGCCCAACCATATTCGCTTAAGACTAATGGGGTCTCTAATTACAGCACCATACTTGCCGTTCTTTTGCCTTCGGATTCCATGTAAGCTTATTTTTGCTTTAGTATTGCTTGTTGTTACAGTATTACTATTACACCCATCAGATGATGATCTTGTTCCCTGGAAAAAAAAATTAGCCATTAAACATGGGGTTTCTTTACAAGATTCTACACTAATTATGAGGTTCTTTCTTTTACTAATTTCTCAGATATTGTGCAATGTGAAGGGGCGGATAGAGCTTCGAGGTACCAAGTTCATTTGAACCCCGTACTTTTGAGACGCTGAGCATAAATTTATATGTAAAAGTAAATTAAAACTGCAACAAATATAATAGGCTCAATGCTAAGAACCTTAAAATTGAACTCATAAAACAATGTGCAATGTGCATGTTAGAGTTAAAGCCTTTTGATGCATATTTTAGAAGATTCAAACAGACCTGTTTTTCCTGAAAAGGGTCTTTTCTTATCTCCCTAATAAAGGGATTTTTACCATTGGCTTTGCTTCTTTCAGCAGCACTAGTTGTGTTAGTGGAATTTGAGCCCTGGGGTTTGAGCAGTGAAGATGGAATTTTTTGCATGAGCTGGGCAGTGGCAGAAGCAGAGGATTTACTTTTACTAGAGTCTTGATTTGCCTTGACTGGTTCTAGTTGTGCAGCAAATTCAGATTGCTTCGCCAAATAAGCGTTGGAAGCCTCTTGAGCAGTTTTAAAGCTACCCAACCAAACCTTTTTTTTCTTAATAGGATCTTTAATTGCAGCACCATATTTACCACATTTTCTCTTATGAACCCCAGCAAATTTAGTTGCATGCAAATCCATAACTGTACTGTTACTGTCCATGTGATCGTGATTCTGCTCCTTTACCTTGTAATCAAGAATCTCAGCTGACCATCTTCTACTTTCTTGACTTTCACTAACAGATGAAACAGCAGCATTTGAGTCCAAGATTATAACTTGGGTTATCTTATTTTCTGCTTTTTATTACTGGTTTTTTCTTCTTCTGCTTCTTTTTGCTTTTAAACAGTTTTCATGGCTCTGATTATGTTATCGAGACAATGTTCATTTACTATCCATTGAACTGAGGGAAATGGGGTATGCTGGAATTTATGAGAGTACTTTTTAGGGACTGAACTATTCGTACACTGCAGAATAGTACTTGCCTAGTTAGCAAGCCACGTGTTGCTTGCTTTTTTGTTGAGTATTCTACTCCATCTAGTGACGCATGCTGCTTGTCAAGTTCACACTAAGGTACAGTATTAGATGGCTTAAGCAAAGACAGTAACGTGCTACTACTACAAGTCTTCAATATAGAGTCGGGAACCAAAATATCGTTCTTTTAGCAATTTAATAGGTGTAAAACAAAAGATAGATATTTTTATATATAGCGCTTAAATACTAGGCGTTATATATTAATGTTAACTGTGTCGTTAATGTATAGCGTCCAGTATTTGAGTGTTATACATAGAAAACTGACACTAACAGGTATAGCGCCCAAATACTGGACGCTATACATAAAGTTTATATGTATAGCGTCCAGTATTTGGGCGCTATACACCTTTTTCCTGACCCCACCAATAATTCCTGACTTCAATAATTCAAAAGCGTATAGTGCCCACTTTTTGGGCGTTATATATATATATAAAAAAAATCCCGGCTAGCCATTTCCTATATAAAGAGGTTAGGATTGTATAGAAATTCATTCAAAAGGTGTATAGCGTAGAAATTTCCCGGCTAGCCATTTCCATACTCTTGTTAAAACGTTTATTGTTGTTAAATTCTCCAGCATTTTTTCATTATGTCTGAAGAGCGTAGAATAAGAGTTTCATTATGTTGGTTGTGCAGTGAAAATGAGCAAGTTGAACCACCCGTACTCACTCAATTGCCCGAAAATGACGTATTACATCGGGATCTGGCAGATGCACAGAGTGAGGAACAAAACAGTGATTACGATAACAATGTCGATGACTCCGGAGACGAGACACCCTTTCC